TTGCCATTAATAATAATATTACAGTGATATCTGAAGGATCATGTGACTGAAGATTAATGAAGCTGAAAATTAATCTTTAAATCACTGGAATAAATTATTAAATTAAATTATAAACTACTTTTGAACAGTTATTTTACAGTGCAATAACATTTCACATTTTACAATTTGTACTGTATTTTTGATGTAATAAATGCAGCCTTGGTGAGCAGGAGAAGCTAATTTTAAAACATTTAAAAATCCTACTGACCGCAAACTATTGATTTAGATGTTAGGGCAAAGTAATACAAAAAATGTAAAAAAGGGAACAATCAAGAAAAACAGAAAATATATCAAATTTAGTTTTTGCAATTTCTTTGAATTTAAATGTTTTATCTTTCTACTTCTAAAAAATATTATTTTAATTAATATTTGTTTAATAAATCTGTTTTGTTTGAATGTGCCAAAATATATTAGCTATATCAATAGACATTGATCAAAATATTATTTAAAATTGTATTTTTTCAAAATAATTTGTATTCATTTATGCTGAACATCATATTTAGAATTTTTTATTTAGTTGAAATTTTGTAGTTTGTAATTTTTTTTTATCTTTCTATTAATATAGGTTATTTATCATTAATTTTAATGTTAATTATTTATTTAAGGTTTATATGTTTAGCTTTTCAATTGAACATTGGAAATTTGTTTTTTGTTTCACTCTTAAAAAAAAAGAAACTATTCTAAAAGCAACTTGCTTCTTTCCCTCAGGCTAACAAGACTCTGCGGTCCCAAAATTTTGACTTAATTCAGGAAAACATGCGCTTGAAAGCTGAAGTGGACAGCAGATCTCCTCAAAAGTAAGCACAGTGTTCATTGAAATGTAATCCTGGTGTACTGCATTGTTTGACCAGTAAATATTGACTTAATTTAAATTTATACATCTGAATATTTACACAGAATTAGTAACTCTGTACAAATGTGTGTTTGAGGTTTGGCAGGTACACAGTGGCAGCTCTGGAGGCTAAGATTCATCAGTATGAGCGGGACGTGGCGCAGCTGAAAAGAGCTCTGGAGCGCAGCGATAAATACATCGAAGAGCTTGAAGCCCAGAACCAGAGGGACGGCCCTGAGTCTGAAGGTGTTTGTTCAAACGCAGCCTCCGGAGGGACTCAAAACGCAGGGATCGAAAGAATCGCTATGATGCGGAGGAGCCTCAGTGAAATGGAGGAAACTTCAGTGCGCACAGACCTGGACCGAAAGTGTTCAGAGCTTCCCAACAACCACGGGCACCTCCTGACAACATCTGACGCCTGTTTTCTGGCAGACACCTCCAGTCCACAGAAGGACGGGCTCAAAGATGTTCCCTCAACGCCCTCCTCGGCTCTCAGATCTCTGAGCTTGAAGAGTCCTGCGCTTTGCAGTGACCGAAAGTTGGGTCTCAAACCTCTCACTTACCTGAGAAGACTGAGTTTCGATGACTGCCCAAGCTCATCCTCAGCCAATCACAACGCAGGATCTTTCCAAAGCATCTCTTTCGGTCAGAAAACCGCTGCGAGTTCTGATAAAGAGGTCTTGTGTGGAGGATGGATGGACTGTGGATCTGAAAATATTGAGAAGGACCCGGTGGGGAACAGTGAAGCTTGTATGGACGCTGCGTATCTCGATAAGATTTCTGAGCTGGACTCTATGATGGCTGAAGGTGAGAACTCCAGCGGGCAGGTCTCACAACTTCCTCTGGCATCATCGTCATCTTCATCATCATCATCATCATCATCGTCAGACTTTGATGCCACCCAAATACCAGAGCTGGATTTCTGCAGCAACCTCTTGGCTGATCCTGAAACAGCAGGAGAGCAGCAGCAGCAGGCCACCCATTGTGATGCTGAGGAGGAAGCTTCAGGTGTTGAGTTCAGAGCTGGAGTGATGGTGGAAAATCCCACACAGCCCACCAAACGCAAGTGTCCTCCAGGACTGTCCGTTTCAAGCCCCTCCAAAATGTTAAAGCTGAAGTAGAAGCTGAGAGATTTTCGATTATGGATTTGGATTTGATGTTTCGATTCAGAATGAGATTTAAAGGGATAGTTCATCTAACAATTAAATTAGTCATATTTACTCAGCAGGGACACCTGTTTGAGTTTCTTTCGTTTGAACACAAATATTTTAAAGAATGCTGAAAACCTGTAATCATTGACTTCCATTATATTTGTTTTTCCTATCATGGAAGTCAATGGTTACACGTTTTCAGCATTCTTCAAAATATCCTCTTTTGTGTTAAGCAGAAGAAAGAAAATGATCAACTTTTATAACCACTTGAGGGTGAGAAAATTCATAAAAGAAGACATTTTAAGGAAGCTTGAAAAACTGTAACCATTGACTTCAATTGTATTTGGTTTTTCTATTACTGAAGCCAGTGGTTACAGGTGTTTGAGCATTCTTCAAAATGTATTCTTTTGTGTTCAATGTAAGAAGAAATTCATCAAGGTTTATAAGCATTTGAGGCTGAATAAATTCACAAAAGAAGACATTTTGAAGAAAGCTTGAAAACCTGTAACCATTGTTTTTCTTAATATGGAAGTCAATGGTTACAGGTTTTAGCTTTCTTCAAAATATCCTATTTTGTGTTTAGCAGAAGAAAGAAAATGCTAAACTTTTATAACCACTTGAGGGTAAATTCACAAAAGAAGATATTTTGAAGAAAGCTTGAAAACCTGTAACCATTGAATTCCATTGTATTTGATTTGTTTTTCTTATTACTGAAATCAGGTTTTCAGCATTTCTCAAAATATCTTCTTTCGTGTTAAATAGAAGAAAGGAATTCAAAAACATTTGAGGATGAGTAAATTTACAAAAGAAGATATTTTGAAGAATGCTGAAAACCTGTATTATTATTGAATTATTGAGCATTATTGAACCTGACTTCAGTAATAGAAAAAACAAATACAATGGAAGTCAATGATTACAGGTTTTCAGCATTCTTCAAAATATCTTCTTTTGTTAAATGGAAGAAAGAAATACCTAAAGTTTTTTTTTTTTTTTTTTTTTTTTTTTTTTTTTTTACCATTTGAGGGTGAGTAAATACACAAAAGACATTTTAAAGAAAGCTTGAAAATCTGTAACCATTGACTTCCATTGTTTTTTTTACTGTGGATGTCATTGGTTACAGGTTTTCAGCGTTCTTTAAAATATTACATTTTGTGTTAAACAGAAGAAGTTCATGAAGTTTTATAACCGTTTGAGGGCGAGTAAATTCACACACAAAAAAAACATATTAAAGAAAGCTTAAAACCTGTAACCATTTACTTCAATAATAGGAAAAATAAATACAATGGAAGTGGTTACAAATTTTAAGCTTTCATTAATATCTCTTTTTTTTTGTTGCATTCAACGGAAGAAATTCAAAACGTTTTATAACCATTTGAGGGTGAGTAAATTCACAAGAGATATTTTGAAGAAAGCTTAAAAGCCTGAATCCATTGACTTCCATTGTATTTCCTACTGTGGATGTCAATGGTTACAGATGTTCAGCTTTCTTCAAAATATCTACTTTTGTGTTTAACGTAACAAGAAAATTCATAACATTTTATAACATTTAAGGGTGAGTAAATTCACAAAAGAAGTTATTTTGAAGAATGCTGAAAACCTGTCACCCTTGACTTCCATAATAGGAAAAACAAATATAATGGAAGTCAATGGTTACAGGTTTTTAGTTTTCTTCAAAATATCTTCATTTCTATTAAATGGAAAAAGGAAATTCATAAAAGTTTATAACCACTTGAGGGTGAGTTAATTTACAAAGGAAGACATTTTGAAGAAAGCTTGACAACCAGTAACCATTTACTTCCACTGTATTTGTTTTTCCTTCTATGGAAGTCAATGGTTACAGATTTTCAGCATTTTTCAAAATATCTTCTTTTGTGCTAAATAGAAGAAAGAAATTCATAAAGGTTTATAACCACTTGAGGTAGAGTAAAACCGTGAGTGAATTTTCTATTTTGGGTGAACTATCCCTTTAACGGCTTATCTTTTTCCTCAGAGCTGTTATAATGAATTTGCATCACACATAATCATGACAGCCCTGTGTGCTGGTTATATTATGTGATAAAAACCATATCAGTATCAAATGGGGGATAAGGAGTGTTAACAACATTATATTTTTTTTCTATGGAGTTTTGTGGTATAGTGCAGAATTATCTGAGTAAACATGAATGTTTAGATTGGAACTATGAAAATGTTAAAAGGGATAGTTCACCCCAAAATCATTTATTCTCCCTTGTGGTTTTAAACCTTTACTGAACACAACAGAAGATGTTTTGAAGAATGCTGGTTGCAGGCACCCATACTCTTTTATAGTAGGAAATAAAATTACTATGGAAGTCAATGACAGGTTTTTTCAAAATATCTTCTTTAGTGTCTAACAAACGAGTGAAACTCAGATATGTTTTGAACAAGGAAATGGTGGCGGGATTGTCATTTTTGGGTGAATTATCCCTTCAAATACCATATTGTCGTTTATAATTTTTCAGATGTTTTTTTTTTTTTACCTGGATTTTTTTTCTAAATAAAAACTGATTCAACCAAATCTTCAATTGTTACGAGATTCATTTTCACATTTTAAAGCAGTTTGCATTATGATTTACTATTATTACATCGTCATCATTTGGATAACAGTGCGCCTATTGTCTTTCTGAGTGCTGAATTATTCCGTTGTCATCACTGGAATACTAAACAAATCCATTTGCTCCTTCGCGGTCTTTTAAAGAATTAATTAATGCTCGTGAATTAACACTTCATTAGCTCCAACTAGTAGCGTTTGGCGATTAAAAATTCATGCAGTGATTAGAGTTTAGTGAAATATACATGATAGTTAAAGTTGGGTAATCAGTCAACGCAGTGCCACCGTGACTGGCCTTAACGAGCGAAATTAAAACATTCAAATACAAATTATGCTTACTGTAAATACGCATATGGGTACATTTTTATGTCTATTTTTTATTGAATATGATTGTTTAAAATTATTAATGTTAAATATTTATATTATTTTTAAATTCAATCGTTTTTGTATCCTCATGTTTCCATTGACTGATGTGAGCCACTTAAATAAGCGCGCTGCAGCTAGCACATGAATAATTATTAGCTTAATTTGAATATTCGGGTTTGCATATTTTCTTGAAAATACTACGGAATTAGTCACATTTACAACTGAAGAGATTTATGAAATGATGATCGATGATGTAGATTCAATTTAGGCTGATGATTTATAAACAAACGCATAAATAATAAGCTCATTTTGTTATAGTAATATTAAACTAAATTTCATTAATATATTTATTTATTAATTGAATTTGTTTATGTATTTATTCAATTAGTATTATAATAACAAATTTATTTAATGCATTTAAACGTTAAGAAATACAGTTATGCCGGTTAAAAGTGTCCGATTAGTTTGCATGTTTTGTGCATGGTTTAATTATGAATGATCATAACACAGAGCCCTAATTTGCATATCGAATGTAAGCTGATACAATGTTGCCGATTACCAACAAGATTCCAAATCGTCAGCGCGCATGCGTGCAGAATCCACAGGTACGGAAGCCCCCTCTCTGTCGTTAGGCCGATTTACAGTTCGAGGAGGACATGAGACGAGAAGAGGCGCGATGAGCTGAGATGAGAGGAGGAGAAGAGAGTCAATCGCGCTCGTCTCGCGAGAATAGGCGAGGCTGCCGGACGAGATGTGAGGGACTCAGGTGTAAGAGCGCTCCTCATCCACACACAGCAGAGCCAAACAGAGACACACACACACACATACACACACTGCGGGCATCTCCTCTGTTCCATCAGCAGCCGAGCGCTACCGCATCCGCCTGAGTGCTGCTGCTCCTGCTGCTGCTACTGCTGCCAGAAGAGGAGGCGGGCGGGACGGAGGACCTGTCCTGGACCCTCGCTTTGCTTTTTTGTGCACTTTATCTGAGCCGGACCACGCGCAATCATGATGTCCATGAACAGCAAACAGCCTCATTTCGCCATGCACCCCAGCTTACCTGAGCACAAGTACACAACTCTGCACTCGAGCTCGGAGGCGATCAGGAGAGCCTGTCTACAAACTCCACAGGTAAAAACGAGCTCCAAACTTCTGCTTCTCTCCCCGCGTTCTCCTGCGCGCGCGAGGAGGAGCGCTGGAGGCGCATATACCGCCTTAATGTTTTTTTCATGTATTCCACAGCAATCACCCGCGCGCCTGTGATCTTTTCTGAAGGCATGCTCACTGAAGGCTCAGGCTTCAGCCTTTTTTGTATTAATTTTTATGACTGGAAGCCTCTTAAAAGGAATATTCACTGTGTTATGTGTTGACACTATTCCCCAGCTGACATCTCCTCTTTCTTTCTTTCTGTTTCTTTCTGTTTCTTCCCACTCTCTCCCTTCCCGAGCGCAGCTGCAGAGCAACATCTTCGCCAGTCTGGATGAGACGCTCCTGGCCCGCGCCGAAGCTCTGGCGGCCGTGGACATCGCGGTGTCCCAGGGTAAGAGTCACCCGTTCAAGCCCGACGCCACGTACCACACGATGAACACCGTGCCATGCTCGTCCACATCCACCGTGCCACTCGCCCACCACCACCACCACCATCACCATCATCACCACCACCACCAGAACCTGGAGCCGGCCGACCTCATGGAGCACATCACCTCGCCGTCGCTCGCGCTCATGCCCAGCGCGCACGAAGGGGCCGGCGGAGGTGGCGGCGGGGGCGGCGGCGGGGGCTTGATCTCCACGTCGGCCCATCCGCACTCGCACATGCACGGGCTCACCCACCTGTCCCACCAGGCTATGAACATGAACTCGCCGCTCTCTCACCATGGGCTCTTGCCGGGCCATCACGGCGGTGCGCACCAAGGTGCGCCGGGACTCGTCAACAACGGACTGCCCTCAATTAACGACTCGGACACGGACCCGAGGGAGCTGGAGGCGTTCGCGGAGCGCTTCAAACAGCGGAGGATCAAACTCGGGGTGACTCAGGCGGACGTGGGGGGCGCGCTGGCCAACCTGAAGATCCCAGGCGTGGGCTCGCTGAGCCAAAGTACCATTTGTCGCTTCGAGTCGCTAACTCTGTCGCACAACAACATGATCGCCCTCAAACCCATCCTCCAGGCGTGGCTGGAGGAGGCCGAGGGCGCCCAGCGCGAGAAAATGAGCAAACCCGACATTTTCAACGGCAGCGAGAAGAAGCGCAAGCGGACCTCCATAGCGGCCCCGGAGAAACGATCTCTGGAGGCGTATTTCGCGGTGCAGCCTCGGCCGTCCTCGGAGAAAATCGCGGCTATAGCTGAGAAATTGGACCTCAAAAAGAACGTGGTGCGAGTATGGTTTTGCAACCAAAGACAAAAACAGAAGAGGTTGAAATTTTCCGCGGCTCACTGATGGACTACTTCTAGAAAACAAACAAAAACTGACAGAAAAAATAAGACTTTTGGGGACCAAGGAACATCGCTTTGGCTCAAACGCGCGTGCTCATGATTAGTACCGTTTTGTTTTCACAACTCATGTTTCTTTTCACTGTACTGGTGAATGTCAAGTATGCAAATAACAGGTAATCCAGATGAACTACTTTTTCTGCGGTTCAACTCTTAGATACGACCTGCTTTCTGTTTCGTCCCGATGAATGACGAGAAATAGCCATTGATGGATTACCTCATAGTTTAATTCTATTCTTATTTATTTATTTATTTATTTATTTATTTATTTATTTATTTATTTATTTATTACATTCAGCATTATATTTGTGTACTTATTCATTCGTAACAGGGAACTGCTATATTTTTGATTATTAAATGTGTTAAAAGCGGATCCCTTTTCACAGTCTTGCTGATCAACTAATGTTATCATTCAGTGTTTCAAAGGTCTGCTCTGACGAATACACAACCGAATAGTTGATGAAAACGAAGGAAAGTATACAGAGTCCCTTTTAAATAATAAAGGTGGCAACCACCGCTCGTATTTGTTGAAATTGCACTGAAATCTACTGTTATTTAGATTGGTTAGATATATTCATATGCTTTTGTATATAAATATAAATATACGTACAAATGACACTTGCTCACCGTGCAAAACTCAACTCCCAATTGTTTATTTTCTATTTATTCAGATTTTTCTTATTGTTATTTTGGCAAATCAGAATTCTTCCTCTGCGGATATTAGTCAACTCGCATGATAAAGATGATTATACTTACAGTCTAATGGAAATTGTCCTGGAAATTATTATTTTGTTGGTTTGTATACTTTGGTTTGCAGTGCAAACATTCTATGCATTGAAAGAAAAAAAAAAATACCAAGCACTACATAGAGTATCTACTGGTAGACCTTTGTGGGTGGTGTAAGTCACTGTTTAATGCCTGTTTTCACATAAAGACACAACGTTGTTTGTCGTGTTAATTGTTCTGAAGAAAAAAAAAAAGAGTTGTAATGATTTTATTTTGTGCACAAGTATGTTTACAAACAGCGGCCACGTGCGCATCACGAGACGTCTCACTCTGTCATACCTGTGCACCTGTCCAACAGTCTGCTGTCTTCCCATCTTATCATCCAAACTTTTCTCCATTCTGTAAGCCAAATCCAGCTGCAGGGGCACGAGTCCCGGCGATCTTCTAAATAAACAATGGAAAAAACATAATAAAAAAATCAAAGTTGGAGTGTACTGGATGAGAATCTTATTTTGTACAGCACAGACAGACAAACAGACACGGTTTTCGTTTACAAACATGTTCATTTTCATTTATACACCAGTAATAAATGTGATATTGATTATTGTTTATTAAAAATCGAAATGATCAGCATACTGATACATATTAATTTGTTTAATTAAATATACAAATGCATTCATACATATTTTATACCATCAGGCTTCAACATTTGACTCATAGAGCTATTACATAAAACGTAAAAAGATTATTATCCTAACATGCAATGGCGGAAAAATAACAAAATAGTATCTCCATTTTAAAAGAAAAAAAGAATCAATAAGATTTCCCTTTCTTTCTTTCTTTCTTTCTTTCTTTCTTTCTTTCTTTCTTTCTTTCTTTCTTTCTTTCTTTCTTTCTTTCTTTCTTTCTTTCTTTCTTTCACAGTGGTTTGGTTGGCTTATCAGCGTTAATCTTTGATCATTACCCTCAGAAACATGCATTATTTATACATTTTATTTCCATGATCTGAATTCCTCAGTCTAGACTGAGAATTCCGTCATAGAGCGATGAAAACCTGTATTTATTTTAACCTGGTCAACGAAGAAATGCATTCAATTTCATAATAATTGTAAGACTAAATTGTAAAACATTAAAACTAAGACAAAATTGCATAATAATAACACTACATACAATAACTAAATAATGTTTAGCAATATACCTTTAAAGAAATGTCGCACCATTTCGGCCGTGATTCTACGTGAGCATTAAATTTAAATACCCGTGCTACGCTTTATTAAATAATTCATGCTCTGTGGTTTGGAAAATTAATAAACGGAATACAACAAGACACTAATTAAAAAGCTCGGTAATTGTTATCTGCGCCCTAATGGGATGTTAGTGTGTCAAACAAATGGAATTTTTGGCCATGCACGTGTCTGCTAAATGAGCTAACATGAGCTGAATGTAATTCCGAAAGTCGATTTCTGCTCATATTGTCTCCTCAAAACTGAGCCGAAGGTTGAGGGACAGAGGACGGGGTTTTTATCCTCGAACTGAGAATAAACATTTAATGAAGCCTGAGACCAGGCCGTCTCAGGCACACACACACTCTCCTCACACACTCACGACGACCAAAGAAACGCGTCTAATTTCAGAAGTTTGTTTATTCATTAAAAAAATGACACTGCGGATCTTTCCCGCTGTAATATTGAAGAGAAATTCAGGGAGAAGGGGAGGGGAGCTTTACATTTTGCTGCCTTTAAAAAAGATATGTTATATGTAGGTGATGCAATATTAATCGCGCTTTGCTGATATAAAATGCAATATTTTCAGACAGCTATCGGGGTTTTTCAGGGAAGCACTTGATGAAAGCAGGTCGCAGCTGCAGTGCTGCTGGAGAAAGAAACATTTATTGCTCCTGTTTGGCTTTTGGCAACGAAGACAAGAACGCAGTGAGTATATGGACATTTTCTTTGGGAAAGAATGACTGGCATGATTTGGATCTCTTGGAGCGACAGCTTATTAAGGAAGAAAAATTTGTCATTTTCGCATATAGTTTATGCGCGCAGTCGAGTTCTGTGGCATCCGACATTACAAACTTTATGTTTTTTAGATTCTATAGTTTCTTCTTTTTTAATATAAACAATTTTCCTAAACGAAAATATGTACAATAAATTACATTTCGCAGTTTTATTGCTATTTGCGACTTTGTATTGAGGGTTTGAGATCGAATCTTTCCTCTCTCAAAATAAAATAACTTAAAAACTAATTTATAGCAACATCTAAATTAACACATTTTTAATAGTTAGTTTTTAATGCTTTTAATTAACTTATTAAGTCAAACTAAATAATAAAAATGCGGCATCAGCATGTAACATTTAATTGAAAGAAAAACTAAATGAATATTAGTAACATCCTCTAGAAACAGTTCGGTTTAGAGACATACATTATCGAAACATTTTCGTAATTTTATTGTATTTTTTATTGAGTAGTAGGCCTATGTATGTAAATTAAAAATATATTACGTTTGCAAAAAATCGCAAATCCCTATATAATCAAATTAAAACCTCCCCAAATTTAGATTTCGCCTGCATTTGTTGCCACCGAAAATCGCAGCGCCATATTTCAGCACCACGAACAGCTCCCTCGCAGATTGAAGAGTAATGCATTATTGAGAGTCTATATCAAACAGCTCTAGGGTGCTGCTGTCTTTCTGCCTGCACTAAAGCCTCTAATATGTTAATGGCCGGAGGGGATGCCGCAGGTACAGATCCCAGCTGCTTCATGAGCCATATGTCAGCCGGTTTGCCTCATGGATCTATTAATCAAGAGATACTTCATCAACACAACTCAACAGCATCCCACCCTCAAAGTTCAGCTGCTACAAACAGCAACAACAAGAACACCGGCTAACCCATTTAAAGCCCCAAACGAAACTCTCTGGATGGATGTGAGGAGGAGGAAGAAGGAAAAAAAAAAAAAAAACAGGAGCAATTGGGGGAAAGTTAAAGATGCGCGACATGTTAAATGCATCAATTCATATAAAGCTATGAGAATGTAGATATTATTATAATTTCGGTCACATTATACTTCAAGCTACAATTCTCACTAAGACTTTTAGCTTAATAACACAGTCTACTAATTTAATGCTTATTAATATTTATTAAGACAGCTGGGTTTGGGTATTAGAATTAACCAATTAGTAAGTTAGTAGTTGTGTGGGTAGGATTAAGGTTGTAAAATAAGATATTTTTACGTGCTAATAAACAGGTAATATCTTAATAGTAGACAGTAATAAGCCAGTAGTAAATGGTGTGAACTGTTATTTAAACTAAAGTGTTTTGGTCACGCTTTACATTAATGTATACAATGTATGTTATTAACAAACACTTAACCAAGACTTTTAGCTCAATAAACAACCAATTAGCTGTTTATTAATAGTTATTTAGGTAGTACTGGGTAGAATTAGGGATGCTAGAATAAGATCATACTTTATAGGTAATAATAAAAGACAATATCTTATTTATAGCCTTAACTATAGGTTCTACACAATTGATTAATGTTGTCTCAAGCCAAATTAAATTAACTTAACAAATGCAAGTGAATTGAACATGAAACATTTAGTTGAATAAAAAAATCTTAAGAATGGTTGTTGCCTTACATTTTTAAGCTGAATCAAAATAACCTTATGAGTTGATTGAACCCATATTATGTAAAACTGACTTAATAACATATAAAATCAAGTTAGAACATTATTAACTTAGTTTAATAAGTTACAATGAACTAAAACGTGCTGTCATGACTAATTTATCATATCTCTATATATTTTTTTTACAGTGTAGACATTCATATAATTCCGGTCACATTTTACTTCAAGCTACAATTCTCAATACTTTTAGCTCAATACTAGTTTGCTGCTTTTTAATATCTATTAAGATAGTAATAACATCATACTTTATGAGTATTAATAAAGGCCAATATCGTAATTATAGTCAACACTGTAAAAATGCAGGGTTCCACACAATTCATTCATGTTGTTTCAACAAAAATCGATTAAGATATGTTGGTATTGAACATAAAAAATTAAGTTGAATTTTTTTAAAAAAATTAAGTATTGTGTGCTGTTTCAGCTCATTTTACATATGTACACTGTAAAAAATATTGTTGCCTTAAAATTTCAAGCTGATTCAAATTAACCTTATGAGTTCATTGAACTCATATGTTAAACTGACTTAAAACAGCTTGCATAATTTATAAAATTAAGTTAGAACATGATAAACTTAGTTTGATAAGTTACAATGAACTAAAACAGAGCTATTTTTACAGTGTAGATATTAATATAAATTTGGTCACACAAACAACTAATTTGCTACTTAGTAATAATTATTTAGTAACTATGATCATAACAAGTATTATCAAAAGCCAATATCTTAATTAAGATAATTAAGACAACACTGTAAAAATGCAGGGTTCTACACAATTCATTAATGTTGTCTCAACACAAATCCATTAAGTTAAGACAAGAAACATAAAAATTAAGTTGAATAAAAAATTAAAGAATTGTGTAGTTTCAACTCATTTTGCATAAGTAGTTTGAACAAGCAGCACACATATACATTTGAATGAAGTTAATAGTGGGAATTAGTTCTTTAACTAAAGTGTTTCCATAATATCTATCCATTAATAAAAACAAATGAATATGAAATATAATAAAAGAAACACGTTCAAGATCCAGCAGAAATCAACCAACCAAAGTGCTTTCAAATAGCACGGATAAACGAGATCTAAATATAACCTGAACTTTAGGTACAAATTATATGTACAACTAAAAATAAAACGATTACTCTCATATTTAGCCAGGATAATTTCTCTACATACTTAATTACATTAATAAGACATGGATTAACGAATCTAAAATAAGTTCATCCAACAAATCTCAAGTAACTCAAACACATATATTTAATTTTTGTTATAAATAAAACATAGGTCACCATAAAACTATTATATCACCAAAATAATGTCGTATTTTCTATGCGATGCAGACTGTTTAATGGCAAACACACAGAGAGCAAACGCACGGATATAACAATGTCCATGAAGGATGGCCTGTGGACGGAAATGTCAAACAGGGGGCTGGGAGCGCGAATCCTCCAGATCCGTGTTCATTTCCGACTCGTATTTATTCAGTGATCTTCAGCGCGGGCTGTTGACACAACAGCGTATTTCAATCACCGGGGGTTCAGAGTCGACCAAAAAGCTATTTGTTTAATAAATCCGTCATTTAAGTTGAAAAATATTTGATAAGCAAGACTAACCCCCCTCCCCATTCCTCCAAACCCTTAGCCGAGAGGAAATAGAGGTTAAAGTCTTTATGCAGATCAAAAACCCGCCCGGGCTCTGCGCGTTCATCCGCTGCTCTATCGCAGACAGGTCGACTCCAGAAAACCTTCAAGAGCAATCTGACA